CAAAAAAAAAAAAAAAAAAGAAAGAAAGAAAAAGAAAGCACAGCAGAATGGGGACCTCAAGGAGCCCGAACAGCCCAGACCAGTGATGAAGGTCTGTGGTCAGGACAGTGTGTCTTCAGGGAATGGTTAGATCATGCCACGTGTTCTCTGTTCTGTTAAGGGAGAAAATGACGGAGAGGAAGCTTATTGTTAAGCTTTCCACGCAGAACGATGAGCACGACCCTCTGTGTGTAGCATCCACCTGGCAGTGCCAGGGAAGATGTGTTACCTCCATTGCTCTTAAGCTGGGTTTTTTCATCATCTATGACTCAGGCTGAAGGGACAGAGGGGAGCATCCGCCATGCCAGGGACCAGAGATCGAAGGTCCAAGGTAGAGAGTGGAGGTCCGCCGTGGAGCTCAGCCTGTCTGAAGGGCTCTCCCTCCTCCTCCCAGAAGGGACTTTGGAGAGAGGTGGGTCCTGTGTCCCACAAATGTGCCCACAAGGGACCCAGGGGCCAGGCGCCCCACCAGGCCCCCTCTGCAGGGGCTTGGCAATCGGGCCCATGAACCACCTGGGGCCTGAGGCTGGAAATACATCCCTTCCTCCCCGAGGAATTCTGGAATGGTTCCTAAGTGCTTCATAACTGGATCATATTTTCCCTAAATCAACACAAAATTTTCCTTTTTAAAAAATGCTTAGTTCCCACTCTTTACAAATTGATTTTGTCTGTTCAGCTACGCATAGGAGACCAAGAAGGGATTCCTCAGGCCTTTGAAATCACAGTGTTATAGGCCAAGAAAGACCTTTAAACAGAGGGGAAACCGAAGACCCAAGAGGGTCCAGACCCCCAGCACGTGCCGCTGCCCCCTGCTCTCTGGAGCACACGGACCCGTCCTTTCCAGCGCAAGCCGAGCCTCAGCACAGCTCTCAGCGCAGGGACCCCGGTGTCCCTGTTACTAGAAAGAGCCGGACATCCACAGGGCGGGAAAACAGCATCACCGAGAAGGGCTCTCAGCGCTGACTCAGAAAGCACACTTTTCTCCAGATATTTAGAAACCAAGCCACAAAGCCGTTCTCCACAGGCAATCGCTTTACTGGAAAATCAGGGACTATGTGAACCAAGACGTCAGGCCCAGGCAGCTGAGCCCAGATGCCCACTGGGTTGCATTGGTCCAGCCCAAGAAGGTCAGCGCTGTGGCCAGGGCCTTTGATCATCTCCTCTCCCACTCTCCCACTTCACAGAGAGCAGGCAGCGGCCCAGAGAGGGGAAGCAACTTACCCACAGCCACACAGCAAGAGGTGGCTAAGGCCAGAGCTGAGCCTGGTCACCGCTACCCCCAGGCAGTGGCTTGCTCGTGGTCGCCCCATCCCCTCACCCCCATCCATAACTTCAGAAAGAAAAAGCTCGAAGGATGTGAACACAGTTGTGTCCTGCGTGTGGGCTCGGGAGAAAAGTGTAATGTGTGGGCTGGTGGGTGGGAGTGTCTGCATATATTTTTTAAACTTTGACAGTGATGCCATAGAGCTTGTTTGCATAACTTCTTTTAAAAAAGAGAATTGATATTTTCATTACTTTCATATAAATGCGGTGCCGGTATGATATAACCGTCATTTACTGGTGCTTTTCAAGTGTCATATCTTGCTTAAAGTGGGTGCAGACAACTGTGATTTTTATGACTTTCTAGCTTCCTGAGCACCAACCTCGAAGAGCTTTAACATGCCTTTTTAGAAGGGTGTGGCAGTGGGACCTTCATGTGTTTATTTTTCCTCTGTCCCCCAGAGTGAGAGAGATGGTAAGAAGTGTGAACATCACTGCCCAGCCCAGGGGTGTGTGCGTGCGTGTGTGTGTGAGAGAGAGACAGAGACAGAGAGAGAGAGAGAGAGAGAGAGAGACAGAGGAAGGGGGAGAGGGAGGGGAGGAGGAAAAGAGAAACACAGGTGAGCCTGATCAAAGCTGCTGTCACCCTCCTTAGCTGTCTCCCCTGATGAGGGACACCCCTCCCCCAGGGTGGCCACGTCTGGGGCAGTGGGGAGATGGGGAGAGGTCCCTGCTAGCTCTGTGGATCCCGAGATGCCAGCGACTTCCTTTGAAGTCTGTTACCTGAGTGTCTCTCACTGGTGGCAGCACAGTGACCCCCAGCAAGCCTCTTGTGTTCCCAGCCCAGTCGGGAATGCACCCTAATTCCCTCTCTCTTGGGAACTCAGCTAATGGCGTGGCATCTCCCCCTGCTTCTCTAACCCCAGTAGGATTGTCACCTGTCTGGGTCAGCAACAGAGGAGAGGTGGTCGGGCCATGAGCTGTGCGCACAGGCCCAGCATTAAATACATGGGCCCTACTTTTCAGGAGCTTTCCCAGAAGCCCCACCCAGACACTTCTGTCGACATCTCACTGGTCAGAACTGTCACATGGTTCCTCTGCATCTCTCAGGAGTCTAGAAACACATCCTCCAACAAAATGGGCATCTCATAGCGACAAGGAGGGGTAGAGTGGATTGGGGTGGCACTTAGGTGTCTCAGCCCCAGTCACCCTGACCCTCCGTGTCTTGGTCTCCTGCTGTGTCAGCAGAATTTGGGGGCGTTCATCATTGAGAGGTGAAAATGACCTTCCACCACTGCCCCCCACCTGCCTCCCCCAGTGACGGGGTTCCCTCCCCTAGGTGTCACAGCCATTCCCTCCACACTCAGGACACTTCTAGGTCCACCTTCTTGCAAGACTTGGGAACAGGTAAATAAACCGAAATAAATCAAGTGCCCCTCTTGGCCAGAGTGGGTGCAGGGGCAACCCTCCACGCGCCACCCGTCCTGGCCGTGTAGGCTCAGGGATAAGCTTTTTAACACTTGTGTGTCTGCATCCAGCCCAGGAAATTTGTAGTTGCTTTAATTTCTTCTGGAACATGAGTTACTCCTGGGTGCAAATCCTGGAAAGAGAGGCTCTCTTGAGCGTTTCCAGGCTGCCCCCCTTCCCCCTATTTTCCAGCAAACCGCTGAGGCCTGGAAAGGGAACGTGGGAGGACACAGCCACAGGTGGCTCCCAGCGTCCGACTGACGGAGCCTCCAGCAGAGGAGCAGATTCAAAGGATTTAAATCGTCGTTTCTCCCTCGGTTTCAATTACAAGAGAAAGGCCTTCTATTCGTCAGAGTAAGCAAAAGGGGGAATTCATTTTTAAAAAGAAATTAAAAAGACAAAAGCTCATGGTTTAAAAACAGATCTTAAATCAGAGCACCCAGAGCCTGAAAGAACAGTCAGCCAATTCAGCATCCTCCAGTGCCTGCCTTTTGGTTGTCATAGTAATGTGACAGTTGCTTACAGGTTGGTACCCAACCAGCTTGTTCAGACAGGGGACAGTAATCATACAGAGGAACCTCAGTTTCCCCAAGGGTCCCAGGCTTCCTTTCAGAATGCTTACTTCTAAGCTCAGCAACCAGAGCACAGGGTGGCAGCCCCTCTTCCTATTCTGATGGAAATGGGAGGGAAGAAACAAACTGAGGACCTGCAAGATGGCCCTGACTCCTTCCAAAACCCTCACCATGGAGTCATGGTCTTGTTTTTAGATGCTGAAACCAGAGCACAGAGAGGGTTAGCAACCTGCCTAAAAGCAATCAGCTTGTGAGTGAGTGGTTGATTTGGGACTTGTACCCCGGGATGATGGGCTCCAGGCCTCTCCGTGGAACTTCAGCCTCAGCTACTTTTCTTTCCTTGGCAGGCCTGGACTGCTGCTACTTTGGCAGCTGCTTAGCTAGTTGAGGGTAATGTTCCAGAGAAGGGGTTGCAGGGCTTCTTTCTGACGCCCACTCCCCCAGAGAGCTGACAACACCAGGGTGATGTGCCGGGGGACAGAGACAGGGTGCTTACCATTCCCTGGAAAAACAGAAATAGACCTCCTCTTGCAGGGCAGCTGGAGGGCACAGTTCTGATTCCTTCCACTGGAGAAAAAAAGAGGCATTTCTCTCCAGAGGCAGTGGCCTTGCATGTGCTAGGGTTTTACAGGCGAGGAAGAGGTGGACAGGGGAAAT